AAGGACGGCTGAACATGAAAGAACCCAAAGTGATGATTCTGTTACCTCAGGCGCCCCGCTGCAAGAATGAGATACAAGTTGAAACGTCATTATCGCAAGTGCCGCCTCATCCATCCCTCGAAATAACATGGGCTGCGTGCCTGATTGGCAGGCATACAGTGTTAATGAATAACAATATGATGTGGAAGAAAGGACGCTATCGGCCAAGAGAACGACAGCTGTATGGCATTCTCCTTAATTAAGTTGAAGAGAGGCAGTGAGGGAACAGTCACAGTGGAGAGAAACTAGAGAGACAGCTGAATGAAAGGTGGCTGAAAGCCTGAGTTGCACATAAGACACAAGAGTTTGGTTGATGAAGAAAGAAATTTGGAGATTCGAGGCGGAAAAAAAAGATACGAGAACATTGGAAAAGTGAGGGAAAAAAACAATCCAAGGTTAGAAATTAATCATTATCGAGTTAATTAGAGTTGCGACCTCAGCTATTAATCTTCAGCCCTATGGCTGATATGACAGCCACATGCACACACATAAACATTCAGCGTGTAGTCTATGAACTCATAAAGGATTCATTCAATTGGGTAATTTCTAATGATCTCCAGTTGGTCCGTTCTCCTTTTTAGTTTTTCAGCACCCTTTGTCTTTCATACAAAATGAATTATGTATGTTTCTCTCAGTGAAGAAGACCGAGGTTAGCCTTGAAGAAAAGGAAAAAAGAAAAAAACAAGAGGGGAAAGTATAGTGCTGACATAAGAGGAGTGCAAAAAGAGATTGATGATCTCAGGGCCAGTGGGAGAAAGGGGGAGAGGAGACAGAGGAATACTTACCAATAAATTACTCCTGAGCAGAAAGGGCAGCGTGCGTGTGCGTGTGTTTGTATGTGTGTGTGTGTGTGTGTGTGTGTTGGCAATTATGTATTTACGTGTATAGGGCCTTTTTCTGGCGTTCTAAAACGTGCTGTATGAGTGAGGGTGTGCGTATGTTTGCGTGCACACCACTTTGAGTCTGCCACGCATGTCACAGCTTCTTCTGGACTGCTTGATGAAGTAGCACTTTTCACGGTAAAAATGCTGATCTGCACACACACCCACATTCACACCTAAATCTCCATCTCCCTCCTAGATCAGCCATTACTTTAGTTTTTAACAGTGATATGAACCTGTCTCTCTCTACCTCTGTGCACCATTGTGTTTTTGCCATTGATAGGGGAATGTGTCAAGATCCCAGCTATTGTTCAGCATCCAAAGAGACATTTCCTGCATGGTGCTCTCCTCTGGGAATGTATGTGTCACAAACTGTCTTTTCCGTGGCATAAAAACTTCCTCAATGCTACAAAATGTGTCCCGATATGTTCTAATTGTCTTTCAAATCATGTCAATCTCCTTGTCTACTTTTCATTATCTCCTGTTTGATTCTTTTTCTTTTTTTCTTTTTATTTTAATCTTCTTTAAGTCACTGTACAAATGTCCAGCAGGTACACACTCCTCTGTGAGGAGTTAAAGTATTTCATTTTTAACAATCAGTTATCTTTTTTAGGAAAATATTGGAAAATACAGTATGTGTTTTAAGTGGCTGTTATAAATCTTAAGTCATGGTAACTAAAGAAGAATTTCACACAGCATGTGCATTCTCAGTTCAGCTGGGGTGCCTTTTTAGACTCCGGTGCTGTGACAGAGGAGCATCCATTAACTCAATTAATATTCACTGGTGATAAAGCATGTGTCATGTTTTATGTGCATTGTTAACATTGCTATAAAACCCTGCAACGTCTGTGTTTAAATCTCCCTGCATGCTGTAGATAATAGAGTTTGTGTACTTGTGCGTTATCCCATCCCCTGTCTGTCTGTAGATAATATGTCATTCACTACCACGGTCCCTCCTACACCCACTACCACCCATACTACCCAACGAATCACCTCCCATAGTGACATCCCAACCCTCCTCTCACCCACCTTCGCCTTGGACCCAGAAGGTAACACACACACACCTTTTGTTTCTCCAACCTCCATGGTAATGTTTAGCTTTGACCTATAAGAGATAACACTTGGCATGTACTGTGAGTGTCATTCCTGTAACCTTTTATATCCCAATTTTTCTTGAAGAGGAGGTAAACCATCTGGCTAGAAATCAGCAAGCAGTTCAGCCAGTCAGCATCCGCGACGATAAGAAGGTGCATTGGTCCAGATGGAGTTAGTGTTTGGAACATCTATGAAAGTACCATTCATGCCTTCATGGAGGTTTTGAAGCAACATATGCTGCACTCCAGATGGCTAGGATTTGTTTTTTTTTATTAAGGGAATGTCTTGCCTATTTCAGCAAATAACAGTAAATCTGGGTTTTTCATGAGTCCGGGTGCAAAATCTTTCTTAAACTAAAGCAAGAAATGTTTACTTCATATTATTTAAATATTTAATACAGTTACGTGATGCTTCTCAGGTGTCTTCCCCTGCTTACATTATTTTTCTGCTGCACACTTCCTTTGTCCTGCATTTATATGACTATTTTTTGCCTGTACACACTTGAGTATCCACCATGTGCAGCCCACCCCCCCCTATTTCATTTCTTATCACTGACTGTTTGATGCTCCCCAACAAACACGTTGCCCAGTCAGCACTTGTACACGCAGACACGTGCATGTGTGTCTGTGTGTGTTTGCATGTGAGTGGTTTAGATTTCCTGGTGCTTGGTTGATACTGTTAATGAATCTGGTTGAGGAGCTTAAGCACTGACAATAGCCTCTGGGGGGCATCAGATGATGCAACTGAAACTGTTCTCTGTGTATGCACACACATAAACACACACATACACAGATACGGAGAGACCGGGATCCAGGTAGTTAACTGATCATTTTCCCAGAAGAGTGTTACGCTCCAGGTATGAGAAAAGTTGTTAAGCTACCCTGAGTTCCAGTTTTTCTCTCTTTTCACCAACAGAATCTATGTATCCCATATAGGCACTCATAAAGATATGCTCACTGTGATAGCCTCTCTCTTTCCACACCTGCAAAGTCTGTCTCCTCTGTTATTTAAAAGGAGAAATGCGGCAAAGGGAGCAGGAGTATTCCACTCGTTCCTCTTGTGCCATCACATTTAGCAGGTAAAAGTTCACCTGCTGGGCATGTGGGGAGGCCCCATGGAGACATGGAAGCGCCTTGGTGGATATTCAGTCAATATTGATGCATCATCCTTGGGGCTCCTCTGAGAAACAACACAATCTTTAATGTTTTCAGTCATTTCCTATGGTGCTTTGGGCTGCAGAAGATTAAGAACAGGGCCATATACAGGCAGGAAAGGCAAACCACTTTAGTGCTTCTTTTTCTTCTCCTCTGAAATATTGCTTTAACCATATTCTTGGTCTTAATGCATTTTAATCCCATGTGCCACAAACCTGCAGATTTCGTCATTTTGATAATAAGTACAAAGCTCAGTAAATGATCATGCTTTTAGTAAGTTCATCCCTGAGCCTGGTAAGATTTCAGGATATACATAAAGAAGGATGTGCTGTATTTCCTTCTGCTGTGAATCCCTGCTCTTCTGCCTGCCCACCACTGTTGCTTTCTCCCCATTCCCTTTGTGTGGGCACTGTATTAATGATTAATTTAATTGTGTCCTATCAAGGTCCAAAAGCTGCATCAATAACTCCATCTCTTTGTATTCTATTATACTGACAAGATCTTACACAGGGCCCATCAAAAAGCTATTGTTATTGTCAGTGACTCAGATGCTTTTTGAGTCCTGACTCAAAGCGCATTTATTTTTTAACATGTTTCTGCCATTCATGCCATCAAATACTCTTATCAGTCCTCACATATACTACTTTTGTTGTTCCTAGCCAGAAGTTAAGTGTGCATATGCATACAGTTAAAGCCCTGACATTGGAATAGGGACACTACTTGTCTTTTCCTGACTGATCACCCTTTTGAGTTTTCTCTCAACAGAATAATTGAACTGTGTTTCCCATTAAACATGCACTGCTAACTGCCATCATGTTCATATAGATTACAAACCCTTTCGCCCTCTGAGAATTTTTCAGGAGCTATCATCCATCGGATACAAGTGAACAACAACATTAACACGGCTGTAGCCTGCATTAGATTTTTTTTTTAAAGGACTTATCAAGTTATTGCCAGATCCAAGATTCAGCTCATGTTCCTAAACACGTTTTCCTTAATGTGGACTTTTACTAACAAATCATGGGAGAAACATGAAAATGAACAAAATTTTTAATTCAATAAAACTTTCACGGCTTTTGAACAGTGTTCTTTGTGAACATCTAAAAGTCATGCCTTAACCTTACCAATAGTAGATAAAAATGAAAGCATAAAGCTATTAGCGGCAAATCAGTATAACTTTTCTTTGCACGCTTGGGATCTTCCTGTTATCTTCCTCCTGTTTTGTCCTTCAAAGCTGTTTTTAAAGTTGTTACAAGGTGTGGTTTGAGATCAAGGCTTCTTATCAAAAGTGCAATTTAATGTAGATATTGTCACAGAATTTGACTCACATTTTCCAGCTCTTTATCTCTTCATGATCGTTTTTTGTGGTGAAGTGTATTTTGAAGGCACACGGGGTGTAAACTCACTTAAAGTTTCTCTCATTCAAAATGCATTGTGCTCTTGACAGGTGCTCGGATGGAGTGTCTTTGTACGGGCTGACATCCTTATTTCTTTATTCACTCTCCTCATTTCTCCACCTTTTTCTCACCCATTCAGACTGTCTAGCAATCTGTTCAGTGGGGGGGTGTGATGAAAGGTGATAATGCAACTTGGGTGGAAGATATCGAATTCTCTTTTCTCACATCTTCCTCCCCATCGCCTCTCCCATGCTGGTGTTTTAATGTGCTTTCTTTGTCTTCACTTTATCTCCCCGGCTTTCATTTTTGATCCATCTATTTCTTTGTCTCGATTCCTTTGCCTGCAATGCTCTCTTCCTTTATCTCCATATTTCCCTTTATATATCCCACACTTTTGACACACGCTATTTGTCTCACTTGTTCTTTTCTCAGATCCTGGTGCGGTGGTAGAGACTCACAGTGCAGTACCGTATGCAGTGATAGGTGGTGTCCTGGCCCTGCTGGTTTTCACTGTCATCTGCGTTCTCATTGTCACCATCTGGTGCTCCGTCCGGCAGAAAGGTAATGCACAGAAGTATTCCGAAACGCACACACTGAGTAACTCCGAATGTTCTTTCACAAGCAGGAGATTGCCAATCGACGTATTTGATAATTTGTGCCGCAGGCGCGGATACTCATTTCTGCACTTTCAGGTGTAATTTGAAGTGAAAAACTCATTGAAAGCCAGTTACACTCAGATTCTTTGTAAATGATCTTTTATACTGAGGTGTAAAATTGTCAGCAGAAAGCAGGCTCAATAGGATGCATCTCTCTGGCAAGTTACTGTCCATGATAAATGATCTTGGCCAGCTTTGTAGAAGAGAAAGGGTGGGGTGGGAAATGTAGGTGTGGATCCAATGTTTTATGACTATATGTTAGTGTATCAAGGCTAAAAAGCAGCCTCGCTCTGTTCCTTATCTTTTTAAGTGCCCTCTTATTGGCAGCCTTACACGATGCGCTACAGCTGCCAATAAATGATCTGGGAATAGTGTTGCGGGTTGCAACAAGGGAATCCTGCCCTATGGCTAGACAAGCTGTCTGTCAACATCAAGTATGGCTTGACTGCCAATCAGCACAGAGACAGCACCATTACTACCAATCAATGTTGAGACAGGGCCATTAGGGCTTTGTCTGTGCTCCATCGTGACTGTCAGCAATGCCAGTCGACCTCTGTGGTAAAGAGATTGAGAGTGTCACTCACCTCTGGACTGAAGGAACACTCCAGCAGGAAGAGGACTTTAGCAGTTCTTGCTCTCTGTAACCTGCAGTGCTCAGACTCATTAATCATATGGACCCCTGGGCTGAGAAAATTAGTTTGATGGGATTTCTGGTGATGCAAAGGTGGCATTATTCTCTTGTAGCTAACATTACCTTCACCCTTTTCTGCCAATTTCTCCTCCCTCCCCGTCTTTTATTCTGTTATCCTCAATTCTCCCTCCTCCATTACCTCCTCCTCTTATGGCTCTTCTATTCATGCATCCATCTGCCACATGTAATTTCTGCCGGTAGGCTCATACCGAACACGAGAGCCTATTCTTGCCTGGTATTGACCTAACAGTCAGTTAACTAATGGATTAATCAGTCATAGGTGTGGAAGACAATAATATTAGCACTGATTGGTTTGACAATGCTGCATTGCACTGCGGTAATCATTACGCTTTTTACGCCTAACCTTCCCCCAACAATCTCCCTCTTGTCGTCTCTTTCTGCTCTCTCTGTCTCTGTTTTCTGCACTCTTGTCATTTAGGTTCCTATCTTACCCATGAGGCCAGCGGGTTGGATGAACATGGCGAAGTGCAGGAGGCCTTCCTCAATGGGAACGACGCCAGCCAGGGCAAGAAGGAATACCTACTGTAGCCCTCTTCTCTCCCTAAACCTTCCTCCTCTGACCTCATATCCCGTCCCCACCCTTCCCCTGCTCTCCACCTTATATACAGTATAAACTCACATACACACAGAAACACTTCTATACAATGCGCCATAAGAGGCGGCCTTCTGAAAGCGACTGTATACCCATACTGCACATATCCATTGCATCCCGCTCCATTCCACTCCATGTACTCCACGCACACTCGCACAACCCGAGAGACAGACTGAGAGACAGAGAGCCTCTAGACCTGCCAGGCATTAATGACTGTGCCATATACTGTAAGTCGAAGACACTGGGGAAAGTAGAGGGAGTGCGAGAGAATGGGGACAGGGCAATGTGAATGTAGACAAAAAAATGAAATGATGCCATAATTATTTTGATCGAGTGGGAAGAGGGCAACACAATGAAAAGTAGTACTCTGCCTGTGCAGCCGCCAAAGTGGAAGGGGAATTAGAGGCAGATGACTGCTATAATTCCTTGCCTGGAGAATAGAAGAATCCATTTCACAAAACTCCACCTTTAACTGAGGCCGACAGTTGGAGCACTATGTGAAGTGTAGCAGGGGACAAAAGAGAGAAAGTTGACCAGGAACTATTGATTACAACAGATTTTTTTTCAATTTGCCAAAGTACCTTGTCCACAGATGGCCACTCAAAGTTATCTCCCAGGTGTAAAAGCAGTGGCCTATCCAGACTTAGTGGACTAACTTACTGTACCATTTGCTTTCCCGTTGAGGAAGGCCTACAGATTAGTTTCACAAGAAAGTCATGTCATGTGTTTTCCCCTTAAGCTTAAACAGTGAAGAAAAGGTGGTTCCTAATTCTTGTAATTTAGCTCTCAACATCCTCCGTCCTTGCTGCACACCTGTTACCATACCCTCCCTTCTCTCTTGTATCTCTCTTTCTCTCTGTCAGTCCCCCCTCTATCGCTCCTCCTTTGTTAGCTCCTAATAATGAAAGGATTAGCATTGGGCTGCGTTCCCGAGGAAGAAGAAAGGAATATGACTTGCTTAGGCATTAAACAGCAGCTTAATTATTTTAGAACGTCATTAGGAGGATGAAAAGGTTTAGAAGTCCTAATATAAAGGGCAAGAGGAGCGATAGCAGAAGTCATGAATGAAAGAACAAAATGGATGCCCACATATGCAGCTACATGTACACATTCACACAAACAGAAAACACGTTGACAGAACAAATATACATATCTCTGAATTCTTTGTTTGTATAAAAAAGAGCAGTGACATGAGTAAATTAAACTTTGAAGAAATAAGAAAACTGTTTACTATTGAAACGCATTATGAAGCAACTATACTAACACAGAATATTAGCCTATAGGGGTGCAAAGTCGAACAAACTACTGTCCAGTGGTCTTTAAAGAAAATAAAGAAAAATAATAAAAAAAATTCAATTTGTTCTATTGAGAAACCAGAGGTCTTATTGATTTTTTAATAATTATTGTTATTATTTGAACAATTATGATTGTTGTTACTGTTATTATTGACGTTGTTATTATTATAATTGTAAATGTTAAAGAAATGTACACTTCTCATGGTTTGTTTTTGGTTCTACTGTAGAGAAATTGCTGTCATTTTTCACTCTTTTCCTGTTACCTTTCCTCTCTTTCCCAGTATTTCTCTCTCTGTCTCCTGTGCCTAGTTGTTTCCTCTCCCGTCTTTCACTCTTGTTTACTTTATAGTTCATGTGTCACTGTTGATATATAGCTAACTATTTCTTTATAGGGGAAAGATAAAAAGCACGACAAAATAAAAAAGAATCCAAAAATAAACTGTTTCTTTTTTTTAGATGTGTTTACTGTGTAATCAGCAGGTTCTGTGTTTGAAATCTTGCGAAAACAGAACAGAACATGGAGTGTATGATTAGATCAATGGGGAATTGTGGAATTATAAGTGGAAAGATAAAGATGAAGGCGACGGAGTCAGCTATAACCGGCTGCTCATTCAGAATAAACAAAACAGAGGGTTCTGTGCCCGGGGAAGAAAAGGTGACATGAGGGTTGAGTCAAATGCACAGAGAAAAATATGACTCTGCCATTAACTTCCATGCAATCAATACCCGATTCTGTCGAGGAGCACTCAACATGTCCATCTGTGTGCAAGGCTAGATTTGAAAGCCGCTGGAGGTCACAGGGTGATGGATCGATGTGTTTCTCTCCCATCGATGCTGAAGCTCCGTGGTCGCCTGTCATAAAGACAGATTGTCAAACGGCAATCAAAGTAATGGACTTGCCAGGCATTACCACCATGAGTTAACACTCCGGACAGCAAACAATTCAGTCCAAACTAGACATATCTTCAGTTTATGACGATGCAAAGGTAGCACTGATAGCTCTCGCCATCAACCCCTCCTACTATCAGTCTGTGAGTAATAAAACTGAGGCCGTTGTTCCTTTTAAATCTCTTTGAGACGTGTTTGTCCTTCAAACGTATGTGCTGCTGCTGAGATTGAAAGCACTCAATATTTTGTCCTTGATTGCTGATTCCAGTCTCTTCTCGCAGATAAAAGCAAGAGAAATTGACAAGTTTTCAGGTTACCCCCCATCTAACATCACATATTGTAATGTTGTCAAAATCAAACTGGATAAGGTTTTGTTTCGGATGCACTGTGTATCACTTGAGCTTGAATGCCATTAAGAGTGAACACCCAGGTTTAGAACAAGTCTGCCAGTTTGCTAGTAGGTCATCTTACGAAAGCTTTCTCTTTCACCTGTGATCCTGTTTGAATTTTAAAAAATGTTCTTTTTAAAGCTCAAAAACAACTGGGAAAAAAACGGTGGGAAATGGAAATGAGACAGGGACACGCCAGACAACAGTTTGTAATATTCCCTTCAGAGTTTATGACAAACAGTGAATGTAACATAATATGGGCAATAATGACAGCTTGAAGTCTATGAAAAACTCACATCGCTTTTTCTGATGCCAGTTTCATAGATGAATGCCCTGGAACGGATTCACATCGGAGAATTCCCCAGTTATGACCCATTTATGATGCTGTATTTCATTTCTATGAGTTGCTGTAAATATCCACTTCTACCAAACCCAAACTCCTCATTTTTCTGTTTCCAGCATTGTGATTTAGACACTCTCTATCCATCTTTAAGGGCAACCAGGACACAGCTTCTGTTCTTTGGTCTTGACAGTGTGACCCTAGAATGGCAAAGAGGTGTGTACAGAATAATGGTGAAGCATGAGGCATTGATTGAGGTGGCTGAGTGTGTCTACATCTAGCATAATCAGGAAGCGGAGAGCTTTCAGGCAGACAAAACAATCGAATGGGCATCTGTACCAAGGAGGCAGGGGGAGCCTTTTTCCCCCCTCTACCCCTTTACCAGATTGCTCTGTCGATAAAATGTATCAGTCACGGCTCTGTGTAGTGACCGAAAAACAAACCAAAGTCTGTGTGTTTTTCGGCCATGTAAAAGGGTGAGAAATATATTTCACTGTTGACCAAAGAGTCAAGAAAAGGCAGACTGACTTTCACAAAGATGTTCCATGAAGAGGTAAAATAATGCATTAGTTTTTTATCCACCAATGATTTTGTAACGCCAACATGAAACAAGATAAACTATCCAATTAATGAGAACAAGGCTCTTTATTATACCAGAGCGTCATGTTACAAGTCAAATCAAAACAACCATGAATATTGTGTCATAACCAAGTTAAGTATGTTTTCCCCACAATGCCACATTCTCTCTGGATCCCCGTGTTATTAGGGAAGTTTTAATTAAATGCCGTCACACATATATCTACATTACTGGTGGCTGGATTAGCAGGGATTAAAAATAACCTTAGAATAAAACCCGTAGGAGGGCTGTCAAAGCAAACAGAAATTTGTGATCAGTACATTGGTAGGCTTCTGGAGACTTCATTTTCTCACTGGCATTTGGTGTGGGACCTGATAATTAACTGGCCTTTTCACTTGCAAGTAAATCACAATGGCCAAATGCATGATGGAGATGATTACTTAAAAAGCCGCAAAACAAAAACAGAAACAATTCTATATGCCTATTCATACAGTCCACAAGTTATTTACTTCAGACACCGTCTATTTTGCACGCACATAAAACACAAAAGAGGAATTTATTGTAGGATTACAACAGTTCTGAATGGCTGAAAAATGTTAGACTTAAAACCATAATGCAGATCTATTACTCTGTAAGAGGTTCAGACCTCTGGGCACACTTTGGCTTTAAGGGAGTGTTTGGCCGAGGACCAAGGAGCTGCTTGCACTGCCTCACGCAGTGCCATGCGGACAGATTTTCCTCTGGAATGGATGACTGCAGACTGGAGGTAAGGAACAACAAAAGGAAAAGATGCCCGTTCCTGCGCCATTTGTCTCCTGGGAGGGGTGAAGAGGACCGATGGCACAACACTGTACAGTTGGAAAAGGAAGGAGGCAAGTCCATGGGCCCAGACTGGGAGATGGATATTAGGGGTGAAAAGGAAAAGAGTATGGATGACAAAAAGTGGTAGGCAAAGCAGAACCAACAGTGTAAGGGAGAGGGTAAGAGAACGGAACGGGTGGGAGGCGTGTTTTAGAGGGTGTGCTTCACCAAAAGGTGTCTTTCTTGGTTTCATGCATAGCAGGTTAAGGTAAAGGGCCAGCAACAAAAGCAAGGGCAGGATGAACATTGTCACTCCGTGAACATAGACTTGAAACTGGGGAGAGATAACATTGTCAGTGGCGCACACACCGGAGTGACTACTGTGAATCTCAGCGTAGGTGAAGTTGCGCATGTCCTCCACATAGAACTTTGACAAAAAGCCTCCGTATGGAAGGTACTGCCCAATCACCTTGCGGTCGTGTTGGTACTTGGGGGCTGCTGACAAGAAAAGATGGGGTGAAGAGGTGGTCCAGTTGCCACTCACATCATGGCCAGCAGTATCTGGTCCAGTCCTGCCACTACTCCAGGTGTTAAGGATATCTGAGCCTATAAACTGGGCAAAGGAGCAGAGAATAGAACCGACCCAGCACAGCAGCACCACACACAGAGCTCGCTGACGTGTCACCACTGAAGAATACCTGCCAAAGGAACAATATTTGGAGTTAATACTTAATTGTCCAGTTTCTTTAAACTGGAGTTAATTACCACTTGAGTTGGTGTAATGTTCCTACAACATGCCATTACAATTATCAAGACTCCTGAACAAACTTTTATGGCCTAAACTTAAAATATTAAATAAATAGGTGGTTAATTAATTTACAGCAAGCAGTTGTTTTAGATTCAAAGAAGAGCACAATGTACAGCATAACAATGAAGCACAGCATAACTTCACCAAAAAAAGTTTAATTTCTTCATTCTTACTTACAAATCTAATTTGTTCATCCCACACCATCAAATATCTAGGAGCATTTTAGTGTCACCTATTAGGACTTTCAAAATTATCCATCTCTATGGGAATTGCATGTCTGGGCCATCCTTTGTGTCATCTCCAAAGTAAGTTTTGGAGTGGGTCTGTTAAAAACCATCCAAGATGGGATTCTTCTTTCTTTATTCAGTAATGTTTTAAGTGTAAAGTGCCTAACCTTGTGAAAAAGTAACCGAAGTAGCTGTGAGCTAGAATGTTTAATTATTAAATGCCCCTGTGGAATATTAAACAATATGATTAACTGACGTATAGATATTTCTATAAGACTGTATTGTATTCGTCAGTGGTTTCTAAAATGTTAGAGGTTTGTGCTAAAAATGGAGCACTCACTGCACAGAATTCTGATATCACAGTACTCCATACAGTGCTGCATCTTGACATGTTTTATTTTCTTCCTTTTTTTCTAATATAGATTTTCTGTCTTTGGTCCTGAAAGCATGCCTGAGAGCATTAGTTGACTCTTGCTACCCACATATTCAACCTTTTGCACACAAGTGTGGTAGAGTTTCCGAGCACTATGAAACTCCAAAGCTTTATGAAAATTCTGTGTTATGTATGACATCTTTTCTCTTATTAATTGTCCATTGCATCGTTTGACCCTTCTCCACTCACAGTGAAGGGCTCTCACTCTTGTTCCACTTAAAATGATTGAGATCCTCCTCTAGACTCACCTCTCTGCCAAGTGAAGTTTGAGGTGGGCGTCCAGTGTGAGTAGCATGAACAGGAACATGGTAAATTGCCTGATCAGCAAAGGACAACACACAATGGTAATGCAGGTGTATAAACACTGGTACGTCCGCAGTGCGAGCACTACAGTTACAGGGACTCCCACTGCACCTCCAACAGCTCCCACCCAGCCCAGGCACAGCCGAAGACAGCAGGAGACGCTTTTGGGTTCCAGCATGGCCCCCTGAGCTCTTCTTTGGACGTTGGCTATGGTGCAATTGCCAATGACGACTATGCACAACCTCACGCTGACAAGTATCAGAGCTGTTGATGAAATACACTGGAACAATGAATACAGCCACATGAACTCCATATCTGAAAAAGGAAAAAAATGGGGGATACAAAACACAGAAAAATGACTTGATAAGGATGAGGTGAATGAGAAAAAATATGTTTAAAAAAGAGATATCAATGCTTGTACAAACACAACCTCTGTCATTCACCAGTCAGCAGTACCCTGCGTTGCCATTCTTTGACTGACTTCACACCAACACCATCAAAGAATCAGACAATGGCAAAGAACAAATAAGAACTCAGAAAATGTCTAAGCCTAAACGTAGAGGTCTTGGACAGGGTGCTGAAAACACTCAGCAAGATTGGGTGAAAGCAGAGTTGCAAAGGGACTAAGAATGTGATGCAAGTTTGTTCTAGGGGCAGAGAAATGGGCAAGGGGAGAGTAGATATTTTTGATAGGTATTGCAGAGCCTGAAAACGTGCCTAGAGAGTGAAAAGGTCAGGCCAGACCAGCTTTGACAGAACTTCTCCACAAAGGATGTGAGCATAATGCAAACACTGAACAACAATCACCAGGCTATGTGGCAACACACTGGTAACGCTTTCAGCACTTTTAAATCATTTTCTTTTTGCCTCTCCTCTCACAGTGACCTACCGTGTGCCAAACACACCCAGACTTTTATGTGTACAATCACTGAGAATCACACCAGAATACACACTCCCTTGATGAGTAATAATTTTAAGGAACAGCATTCAAAGGTGACCGGCAGCTAATTTTAGTGCATTTTCAAACAGTTTCCCATAAAACTGAGTGGATTCATTCTAAAAGTAGAACATTTTCTGCCTCAATGTGGCACTTGCCCATTCCATGTAATTAGTTTGACCTTTTTGAAACATTTGGTGTTAGTCATCACTTCCATGATAATCATGAATGGTTTAAATAACCTCTATATACCACTTCATAATCACTTTACACAGTTGTCTTCTGTCTCCTGACTTGACGGACCTCAGCAAAATTGATTTACTGAAGTAATTAATGGAGTTTAATCCACCTTGTGTGAGTTTTCAATTCAAATTGTTGGCAAGACACTGATTATAATTAATTGCCTTAATAAATCAATCAATCTATTTGAAGGTATGGGGTCAAACCTGTCAGGATAGTAACAACTATTTGGAAAGAGCTGAAAAGTAAGTAGATCCAACATTATGACAGAGAATTCAATCAAAAGAATGAAAATACCTGTGCTGAAGTCCTGTGATGAGACAGATATATTTTACAAGCTCTGTTGTATCTTCTCTTTGACTTGGTTATCTTTGTTTTGTTTCCCTCCAGGATTTCTATCTCTTCTTTTTACCTTCACTCAAACTGTCTGCTCCTGCTGACAGAGTAAACCTGATTCATAAACCTCTGCTTATCAACCTGTCTCCTATCTCTCTCCTGTCTCTGCAAACATATCAATTGTGTCAATTTTGGAGCACGGCTGCCCTTTCCATCTGAGATGTCTAAAGGGCATCACATACCCTTGACATCCAGGGATTTATGCAAATACAAGGGCAAAATCATTTTCACTAAAATTTCCTGTTATCTATCAAAATTTAAGGTACAATTGTCATCGTAATATCTTTGTGGGGTGGAGCATGTTTAAGTTGAAGGTCATCAATTAAAATGGGTAGCAAACAAATTTTATTCTATTTTCTTATATTATAGCATTTGTCCATTAAAAATCCACCATACAGTATTTGTACATTTCCAGTCCAGAGAAGTATATACATTCTTTGAAGGGTAGGTTCTGGTTTTGGATTTGGCATTACAGCTCTATTGGAAACAAACATCCAAACTTTAGAGAAGCAGCTTAAATTTCTTAGAAATTCAATCATGAGCTTTCTATTTATTTTCAGTTGTTATTTTTCCAACATGCAAATAGGTTTATTCAATTGTAGAAGTGATATTACATTCCCTCAAAGCATTTTTAAATAAATAAAGTAATCAACCAAGCATATGTGTTTTCAAATTATTCTCGTACTTCCTGCCAAAAGCGCCATGCTCTAGGCAAGGACACACTGAACTTAATTAAGAAGGCTGCATTTCACAAAAAAAAAACATATTCACAATAATGAAGCAAAAAAATTAGCTTAGTTAATTGGTCTTACTGTAAATTCAAGCAAAGCCACAACATTTCTGATTTAAAGTTAAAGTTAAAACCAAGAGGAGAGTAAGATTAAAATTAAGGTAAAGTTATGATGAATTTGAAAAAGTAATAATGTATTTCACTGTCTCTGTTAGATTTACACAAAAATGAACAATACATTTTTCCCTTGACCGAGATTGGTTACAGTTGAAAAAAAAGTAACTTAACCCTGTTATACGATTCCCATAAAATTGTAAAATATGTTTATTTACAGTTTTTTAAATCAACAAAAACCTTAACAAATTAAAATAACCCAGAACATCTTTATGATAACCTGTTGTTTTTTATATAATCTATTATTTCAAAGGTCAATTTCTATTGACAAATCTTAAATGAAGTTATTCTCTTGTTAAAGTTGTTAAATTAATATTCAGATAAAATAGATCGAATGTGGAAAAGTCTCATCTGTAGGAAAAGAACGAATAGATCTCGCGACAAAAAACGTGATGGCCCCCTTTTAACAAGGGATGGAAACCCCGTTCCATCCTCTTCCCTTCGCTGTCCAGAAGCAAGGTAAAACGCAATTTTTCACTTCTAGCGTATGAAACAGTAAATCTCTGTAAGTTTATTTTTTTGCTGCATCAAATGAATGTTATATTTCCAGAAATTATACTATCTTTAATTTTTTGAGCCTTGTGCCAGATCTATTGGCGTGATTATTAGCTTTATAAGTAATATTTTGTATGCTACTTAGAGACATTAGCTTTTAGCAATGGCTGCGCCCATGCTTCATCGCACAGGCCTTTGCAAGTCTTAGGCTCTTGCTCTGTTCAAGACTGCTTCCCAAATACCAAAACGCATGTGGCATTCACCCTAATGATTTTAGTTACGGATCATTGTATGTATATCTGAATTCATTAAATTAAGCTCACTCGTGGTTGTTTATAGAAAAATGCAAAAATGCTAAGCTAACATACCGGCTACATCGTTAGAGCTAACGGCTCCGCATGTCACTAGTGAGTTGTTGTAATCCTGTATTAAGATAATCCATCTCTGATTATCTAATTGACTTTGGGGTAGACTTGGAAGACGGTTTTGTTGTAAGTCGGAGAAAAATTGAGAATCGTTTCCCTGGGCTCGGAATAATCCCAGATTTCGTTCTGCATGTAGGATGCCTGGTGTAACAGTGAAAGACGTCAACCAGCAGGAGTTCGTCCGTGCCCTGGCGGCCTTCCTGAAAAAGTCAGTGTCTAAATATTGTTTTCTTTTTAATCATTAAACCATCCATTTTCTGAACTGCTTATTCTATTCCCAAATGGAGTCTTGGAGTTGTAAAACTAAGTGTGTTGTACATTGAGCCTTATTTACCCGTTTTTAACGTGAATGACACAATGACTTCTCCACATCAGTCTACACGTTGCAGCTGTTTGTTGTATAGTTGATGATATTTCTGGGTTTAGGTCAGGAAAGCTGAAGGTGCCTGACTGGGTGGACCTTGTAAAGCTGGGTAAGCACAAAGAGCTGGCTCCCAGTGACGAGAACTGGTTCTACATCCGAGCTGGTGAGTCTAAATGTTTCTGTACATCCAAGACGTGTCACTTTTGTTCAGGAGTGTCACTAAATCTTTAAAGATTGTGTTTCATTGAGATTGGAAAGATTAAAAACTTGTTCGGTTATTGGATTGGAAATTTAAGCTGAGCTACTGAGTGAATATTCATCATACAAGCAGTGTTCTTCATGAGACATGTTGCACTAGGCATCTCAATATCTTCTGTTTTTTTCCCTTTCTAAAGTGAACTTGCTTACAGCGATATTTACATAACATGTTGTCGTTTGCCTTCACAGCATCAACAGTCCGTCACCTGTACCTCAGAGGTGGTGCTGGTGTGGGCTCCATGACCAAGATCTATGGTGGGCGCAACAGGAACGGTGTGTGCCCTTCCCACTACAGTGTAGGATCAAAGAATGTGGCCCGCAAGGTGCTTCAGGCACTTGAACTGCTCAAGATGATTGAGAAGGATCCTAATGGGTGAGCTTCTTGTCTGATACATTCTTTTGGTTGTATGGAACTTGGTGAAACTTTCTGCCTGCAGTTGAGTTTGATTAATTATAGGTGGACTTGGATCCTGTTGTCAAAATAGTTTTAATTTTTTAAGTTGATGGCATCAGAAGCACCAGCTTCAGCAATATGTTTCCTGCTGTAAATTGAAATGGTAGGAGGGAAGAGAACAGTGCTTGTTTTTGTAAGTTAGTGTAACGCGTAGCCCGAACTGCAGTTGTAGTTTTATTTATTTTTTTAACATAAATACATAATGGCTAAACCGATAGGGTTTGCCTTTTGCTGTGTCTAATAGATCTGGATGAGATCTTTAGATGTTTTCAGCTGCATGTTGTACATTTACAGCTCTTGTGCTGAGCGGTCAGACATCTTTGTGCTCTGTCCTGGTATCATTGCTTTGGTTACAGGTCACTGAGTCAATATGTCTGCATCCAAAAGCATAACGGCTGAGCATGATTTATCCTGGACAGATATTAGTTGTCAGTCTGGTTTTTATATTGATCATGTTGGGAAGGGGGTTGTTTCTTCACCTTCATCAGACTGAATAAGACCTGATGCTGGCACTGGCTGTAAAGTTTTTTTTTTAAATTTATTTATTTTTTATTGTAACTCCTTTGTACCTTTTTTGTATTGGAAACACTGGTCCACTTGAAGCAATATAAAAAGCTTTTCATATGACAATGCCTCTGATTTCTGCTAGTTAAATCTTAGATATGGGTCATTTGCCTGCAACCTCAATTATTTGTGAGCAGCACAATTCACGCACAATGATCCAAAGCCATCATCTAAACAAAATCTCCCAGCCCTCCTCTGGTCTTCACTTTGTCTGACACATTCTTGTAGCCTCATTAAATTGTGAACCCTGTAATTTTTTCAACTCAAGGAAATGGATTGAAAAATGGGTGATATCCCATGATTCTTATGTTTTCTCAACTTTTCTTTCCAGTGGTCGCAGACTCACCTCCCAGGGAACCAGAGACCTGGACAGAATCGCTGGCCAGGTGAGAAGTCCGATGTGGATTATAGCAAAAGTGTCTTAACATTGCACACAATCTTAATGAATCCAAATTGTACTTGCTGAATTTTAGGGAAAAAACATCTGTTGGTTTCATGCTTGAATGTCATGTATCCGTGTGTATCATCATGAAGATGAACACGCTACCCTGAAGCATGTGTTGCTTTTTATTTAGTAGGGTGACAAAAACATTCGGTTCTTATTTGTAGAAAATGAATGGAAAAGGTGAATCAGTCTGTTAATTTTTAGGCTTCTCAAATCACTTCGTATGATTTTTAGGATAGAAGTATTCTGTAAAATATAAAACTTTCCAGACTTAATACTGTGGCTGCAGACTTTGGTATATCAATTTTTCTTCCACTCTGAATGGCTTTAAAGCCTGAAATTCTCACCAGCATTACTCTTAAAACTCAGCTACGCCGAGTTGAAATTGTAGAAGAGTTGCAGCATTGGCTGTCAAGCTTCTGAATGTCAGTGCAACCTCAAGCTTACAAGTCAAAGGTTGTTCTCTCTGAATAGGTTTGTGATGCTCGCCACTTTGACATTTGACAAACTCGGAGTGGAGCATTAAGCTTTTGTTATCATCACAGAAATGTCACCCCTTGCTCTGATGCTACACCTCGGCGTTGCCGGGTGTGCAGCCTGTGATACTCTGACGTGCATCACTTTCTATGAGGCGCTCGTCCCAGGGCAAATTTTCTTCTGCCAGCCAATTGAATTATGACGTGTGTGTTTGTGGCACACAATAGAAGTTGTATGTCTTTGCTAAAGGGGGGAAAAATGGTGACAGTTGGGCCGTGTCAAAATCAAGCAATGCAGCAGTGTTGGGAATATTCAAGGGTAAAAGGGGTAAACATGAGGAGAGAGTTTCATGCTTGGCAAGTCTGCCGTATGGCACCAGTTTTCTACTTGTTTACCCATACTAATGAGCAGAATGCAGATGAGTAGTCGTGGGCTGGGCCCCGCCTGCCTGCTGCACAAAGTTGGCAGGATGCATGTTTTTATGAATCCACCTCCTGATTCCCAGTTGAATTGTTTCTGGTGGTTTCTGAGTTCTTCACACTGAGCTCAGTCAGTCGTTTGTTAATGCTGCTCGTGGCTTTGGCCGCAGCGGATGAATGAAATGTCCCCCTGAAAGCTGTAAACTGGCTTTTTAAAGCCCCGATGTGGAGGATGGTTGTAAACTGCTGGGACATCTGGCAGGTAGACAGTTTGACATCAATACCAGTCTTGTCTGAAATTGTTTAATTAAAGATCAGATTTTTGTCAAAACTACACTTCAGAACTGAATTTATCAAATAACTTTTTCCTGCATGTTTAATGTCATTTTTCTTTTTTTTTTGTCTCCTCTCCTCAGGTTGCAGCTGCAAACAAGAAAACTGTTTAATAAATCATTTTTGAGAAAGCCCAGATGCTGTATGTTTTTTTTCTTAACTATATGTATATGCAGTCTTAAGAATTTCATTGACTATTTCTGGAGCTTTGTAGATGTGGACACAAGTGAAATGGTTTAAATGATCTGATTAACCAATTACCTGGAGTGTGTGTGTGTTGGGGATGGGGGGGGGGTAGTTTTGTTTGAATGTTGATTTTTGCATAACACTGGATGAAAAGAGCCGAGCACAGGGGTCTGTTTCATTAAGCGTTTGGAAGAGGCTGCCCGGGAGATGCTGCACGCCTGAGCTGAAGCAGCTTTTCATCAGCGGCCAGACACCCGGCTGTCAGCGCGCCTCCCTCTCTGCCGCATTAATCTTCCCTCCCTGACACTCTGTTTATGCATCAGATCCTCGCCTCTTGTACAGTCTGGTGTGATGCCACCAAAGCCTGATGGGCCAAAACAAAAAAGCAGGTAGCGTTCCCATGAGCGGCACAGGGCCTCTGGCGGGTGATGTCATAATTCAGCGGATCCAGCAGGGCACACAGCGCCACCTAGAGCCCAAAGACGGGAACAACGCACGCAGATAGAAATTCAATGAAACAGGAAAAACGCCTTAAACATTCAAAACAAACTTGTGCATGTTTGTCTTTTTTTTTTTTTTTAGGAAAATATATATATATTTTTTTCTAAACCTGGTTGTTTAAAGCTATAATTTGACATGTCCCTGTCAAAAGTCTCGGCAAACTTTACGCGTGGCTTTCAGGGGGCCCGTTCTGCATGCTGTGCTGTAGAAAGCTGTCGGGGGGAGAAGCCTGATTGGGCTGTGCGTGTGGAGCCCTGCAGAGGGTGCCAGAGCCTACAGAATATAGATTACATCTATCACCTCCTCGGGGCAATTTACCATCAGAGTTTTAATTAGACTTTGATGGCACTGTGTTTAGGGTCATTTTAATTCATCTCGAATTGGTTTTTAGTCGGACTAAACTTGAATTCCACATAATTAATTTCAAATGACTTATGGGCTGAACCAGCTCAGTGTGGAACAACCGATCATTTCTGGCAATATTATGTGAAAACACTGGGTTTTAGTTTGGATGAACACAAGCCTGGTGGGGGCAACGTGGTGCACGTTTCTAACCCTTAGATGACACATGTCTCTTCTGATGACTCGTCTTTGAGGGGGGTGCTGCTCCTGGTCCTGGTCCTGGTCCAGGTCCTTTGGCCAGACTTGAGCTCCCGTATGCGGCCTGCCCTGCTGCCCGGCTTATTCTGAGCCCTGTGTTTGCCAGATATGACATCACATATCCACCGACACTGTTTCCCTGTCTGTCAGCCGCTGCGTCCCTGTGTGTCCGGAATACACACTGCATTGTGTGTGTGTGTGTGTGTTGGACACACACTGCATTGTGTGCAGCTCGGCTGGACTGAGCACACAGCTGCCTCTCTCTCTTTTTTCCCCCCTCCTTCTTGTCAATCATAACGATCTCCATAAATTATTCGGCACATCTCTCTGGATATTCTCTGCAGGCTTTTTTTTTTCCTGTCTTTGTTAATTCACCTATCCACCATTCTCTCCACTCCCTCCATCTCTGTCCCACCCACTCCCTGCTGTTGTTAGTTGAAGAAACAGCTGTTCCTGAACACCTGAACCCATCATCACTTCTTCCCGCGTCCAATCCCGGCCTCCCTCCCACCTTCTCTCTTGTGATCGTATTTTTTTTTGTTCCACCCCTGTAATTTAGCAGAGGCATATGAAGCAACATGCCCTTGTGTGGTCGACAGAAATGTGTGGAATCCCTTCATTTGACATGTCTGTTTACTCCTCTGTCCCTCATGGCATGTGTGTGCTTGACTTGCCTATTTTATTCAGTGTAAAATATACCTTTTTTTTCTGGAAAAACCCAACTCCAGTTGATCAACTTGTTTGTGCAGCAATGTGTCACTGAGTCCGGTGTTATTATTAGCAAGCTTCACAATAGCCATTACTGCCATGGAGCAATTACCACCTTTTAAGAAATGCACATCTGAGTGTCATGCTGTGCCTTTGTGGGTATGTGTGTGTGTGTGTGGGGGTGTGTATCTTCTCGCTGCCATTTCTTTGGCAGCTCAGCGTGATCCCGCTGAGAATGGATCCAGACCTGCCTCTCACCTCCTCGGGCCTGGAACCCGCAGATAACTAAGAAATGTCTCTGCAGCTGCACAAGTCTCTCCAAATAGCAGCACTATCAGGAGAGCCTGCATATACAGTGTCAACTCACAGCTTCTTGCCTTGTGGCATGTTTTCCTCCCCAAGACGCGACATTCCCCAGAATTGTTTCCCAGCATTCCCAGAGTGCTGTCACTTTGACTCCACTGAGTTGGGGAACCAGATGCCACGAGATAACACCGCTGTCCCCGAAAAGCCACTGTTTTCCGGCATAGACTGTACCGTTTTCTCATTAAAAGGATGACCATGTTTCTGATCATTTCATGTGGGAATTAGAATCCCAATCCTTGCATTTGTCTCAGTTCCCATTGTTGCAACTTGCAACCCATTGTTTTACTGTTGTGGGTTTTGATCTGCGCTCTGCCCTTCCCTTGCGTTGAGTATTTGAAGTTTTAATGATGTATTATTGATTGTAAAGCCACGCTGGAGCCCACGGGGGTCAGCGCGTGTCTGTGAGGGTTTGTTTGTAGAAATTAGCGTGGCCAAAAGGTCAGAGCTGTTTCAGCAGAGAGCAGAGCCGCGGCCCTCTGCTTTACAACTCTAAAAAGTAGTGCACATGACACACTTATCTGATTGATGACTGCGTCTGCTGTTTCCCTGTGTGTCTGTGTGTGGGGGGGGGGAAATAAGGCGAGCGCAAGTGTAAGGCTTTTATGTACATCTGTCTATTATATGTGTTGCTGTTCATCTGTGTGCTGTCAGCTCTAATCCCTCATCCTCTGTTTGGCCTGAGAGCAGGTGGTGTAAACATACAGCGTGCCGCTCAGTCTGCCTGGCACCAGGGCAGTGTAGCGCGGCCCCACAGCAGGTGGGTGTGTGTGTGTGTGAGTCTGTGTGTGTGAAGGCGAAACACTAACCATGTGTTGGTGACTTTGGTGTGTGGCTTCCTTAGCTTAGCGAGTATGAATCTCCTCCACCTGTCACAGAGGGCGGGGTGCAGAACAGGTGCTGTCTACAAAGCCAGCCGAACTGGGAATTATGCAGTGTGTGTGTGTACGTGTAGAGCCCCTCATTGCTGATGCTTGTGTCTGCGCACACATTCAGTTCAGAGCGAGCAAGTCAGTGGTGCTTTGATGCCTCGGGTCCTTGCTTTATTCGGGAAAGAACAAAAGAGTGACAGAGGGAGACGGCGAGACACAGCGTGCCACCGAATGGCTGCAGAGATAGTTGACACAGTGACACACTGAGACGGGCTGGAGAGTGTGTGTGTGTGTGTGTGTGTGTTTGTGAGGGGCGCCGCTTCATCATTTCACCATCTCTCACTATCTTACTGTCTGTGGGAGGGCTGGCAAATCTTCAAAGAATGCCAGGCAAGTGTCAGAAAAGTGGCTAAACCTTGTAAGAACTCAACAAACGGAGCTCTTTTAAACCGATTCCCAGACCCAGTGGCTAAAAAAGCCCACATCCCGCCCACCACCCTGTCAAGCCTCTTTACCGCTGAAACGTTTTTAGATATAATGGATTTTTAAGCCATTGACATCTTCTTCGGGATGCTCCCCTCACAGCCACGGGTTAAGCTCACATTGCTCTCAGCGATCGTTTGCTGAACTTCTTGATGATTTGTTCTTTTGGTTTCTTCTTTGCGGTGACAAACTGGAGGCAGGAAAAATTCCATTTTAACTGTTAAATAAATGGACTGATGAAATACTTGCAATAGTGGGTATCACTGAGCAAGGAAATATTTTGCCTCATGAGATTATCCACCTTTCTCCCACTGGTCAGTGCTATCAAACAGTCCTTTATTCCAACTCAATGGCTCAAATTGTTATCATTTTTCAACTTTGCCATTTATCAATAATTCCCTTTGTGGTATGCCTATTTTCTTTAGTTCTCATCAAACCTTTGTACCACCATCCCAAGTTATGCAATTCTTCCATTTTACTATACTGTAATTTCTCTTCCTAACAACCGTTTTCCATACGTGCCCTATTTCTCCATAAAGGTTAATGGTGTCTGATCATGTGGAAACTTACTGACAAAAAGTCCTCACTTTAACTGAAAAGAAACTGAGAATATGATTTTATCAGACTGAATGTTATTCTTTAATATTAAAGCACATTTGTTCTCATGGTGACAATAATGATTCAGGTTATTTTAAATTATAGATAAGCCATCTGTCAGAAATATTAAATAATGAATAGAAATAATGAATGGTCTGTTGTGACTAAGTTGATGGAGAGTTAGTTTTTAAGTAAAGACTGGTTTAACCCTTTTCCCATCACATGACGGCCCATTCAGATTGCTCAGATTAACTCAGATATATGATTGTAGAAAATAAAGCACTGTATATACAATTCAAATAAATAATAGATGGCTGGATGAGTATTTGAGCGAATAATGAAAATCCTAATCGACAACATTGCAGCAGATAACTCAATGTTTTCATCCAAGCAAAAGTGCAGTGACTCAGAGTTCAGCCTACTTGTGTGCAGCTTCTGTGTGAGTGTCTTGTGACTTTCTAACATGTTTCTCAATTGAATTTTGGTGAGTCGAACAGATGAGGCTTCAGAGTGGCTGTTCGGTGCAGTCCCCGTGGTGCGCCGTACTGGCTGCGTTTACTGTGAACCCTGTTTGTTTCTGCGCCGTACCTGTGAGCTGTGGAGTCAAGGTTGCCAAAGTGAGTTAGTTCCAGGCGTTGCTTGTGTGCATGTCTTTCTCACAGTAATGGCCTTGACTGGGTCTGATGCTATCTCTCACGCCCCTGGATGTATTCCTGGTCTTTCCTCTCCAGTCTGTGTCTCTGTTCCTCTTCTACCCCTTCCTTGTTTCCCATTAAAGCCTCCAGCCTACATTTGTTGATGCCGTATCTTTCCTCCAGAATGCTATTTTCTAGTCTGCTTCTTCCCGACATGTCTGTGTCAGGGTGTTAAAAGGCGTTTTCCTTCTTTTTCTACTTTTTCCATTTCAACTGGGAAAAAAAAGTTCACAAACCCATAAACATTTGAAATGCGGTCAAG